GGGGAGGTCACCAAGCTCAAAAATCCTCACGCAAAAAAAGAGCGCAAAGAGCTCACACCACAAGACGCCAAACAGCCTCCTGAGACTACTACCCTCCTCCGCCTCTCCCTCCCTGGGCTAGTCCAGGGGAGATAGCCCCCGTCGGGGGGGTAACACCGCACAAGTCCGCGCCCTTCCACAGCACTGGGTCTAAATTGAAAAGTACTCAAACGGGAAGACCCTGCGGCAACGCAGGGCGATCAAGCCTCCGGAAACCACAGGGGGGGAGGGTAGCCAGCTCGGCGCCCCCCCAATACCGCTCTACCAAGACGGCTGGTTCCCAAGATCCTATCTCACCTAGACGCCGCAACACGAAAAACCCGGTCTCGTACCCTGAAGAACCTAGTCCTGCACCACGCGCGCACCTTCGAGTACGGCCCCTCCTTCTGGGTGCCCACCTCCCCCTCATCCGCGCCCTCGCTACGGCCACCTGTTTCCACTCACCACTCCTCAACCCTACATCCTCTTGGTGCTACTCTCTGCCTCTTCCCCTCCCCCCCCGGNTCTCCCCGCCCTTTCCCCGGTCTCCCCCCCCTCCCCCGGGTTGGGTTCCCCCCAGGCAAAATAAACCTTCCCTTCCCCCAGTTCCCCTGGGGGGGGACCCCCCCAAGGCCCATTCCCTGATTCCCGCCCCCCTGGCAACCTATTCCCCTCAACCTTCCTTTGGACCTTCCTACCAACCCCAACAACTCAAAAAACCCCTTTCGGGCCTTCACACCTATTCCCCTTATCCCCTAAATTCCAGCTCCCGCCGGGTCCGCTTGACCATTAGGTCGTGATGTCCACCGCCTTCGCGCAGCGCAGGTGCTCCCCCGACGATTGACAGGATCGGGTGGTGGGGTCCCACTCCGTCCCAGCCCCGCCTTGGGACATTAAGCGCGGTGAAAGAGCGCAAGCGCGCCCAGAAGTCCACTACTGCCCGAGCGCGGGCGTATTCCAGGGGGGTTGCTGCTGCTGTTGCTGCTGCTGCTGCTGCTGCTGTTGCTGCTGCTGTTGCTGCTGCTGTTGCCGTCCCCGGTCCCGCGATGGGCCCCTGCGTTTGATCCTCGAGTACCGGCGCGTTCAGCGGCGGCCCCTCGTGCGGTCTCACTCCGTTGGCCAGGTGAAAGAAGTCCGTTATCCGCCGCTGTTGGGGCCCTTGCGCCTGGATCTGTTGCGCTTGCTCTGGCTGTTCTGTCGCGGGGTTAGCCGCCCTTTCCAGTCGCCTTCCGGCTGCTCGCAGACAACACCTGCCTACCTCCATGGCAGACAGGGCTGCCAGGGCGATCACATCCCAGGGGGCCTGCTCGCAGCCGGTCGGGGCTTGGACCAGCCACAGCTGCTTCCGGGTGATGCCGCCTGTCGCTGCCTCCTGGGAGGGCTGTATGTGTCGATCAATCTGCTCCCGGACAGCTTGTATGTATGTATGTATGTATGTACCCACCTATTATGTATGTTTGCGTGTGAGTCAGGAGGCGAAATCGCTTGTATATGTCAGTGTAGCGTCTTTTTTAGTAGTGTCCTGAATGTTCAACCTGGCATCGCTCGTCTGCGTGTGTGTTAGGGCTATACTGTGTCCTTGACGGAGAGGCGGTGGATGGAGAGATGTTTGTGAAGGGGTGTGGCGAATGGTGGCGAGTGAGTTTTGGGACAGCGGGGGGGAGAGGAGCGCGCTGGGTGGTTGCAGTACTGGGGCACGGATTACGTGGTGCCGAGGGAAGGCGCTCTGTGCGCTTGTTGCGCTCAACAGCTTATTGGGGTGCTTGATCTCCTTTTTGCCAGCAGGCTCGTGCATGTGTGTGTATGTATGTGGATGTGTGGATGTGTGTGTATGTGTGTGTCTCTGGCGCTCCCTATGTGAGTGCGCGAGAAGGTATGTGGAGATCTTCCATGACTTCAGAGTAAGAGTACGTATTATACGCATGTATGATGTTGTTACAGGTTGGTATAGCTTCGCCAGCGGCCCCCTTTCCCGAGGTAGTGCCCTGCTCTCCCCTGCGGGAGGGGCACCCTAATCCATTCACCCCATCCGACTTCAGAATGTATTCGTTGGGTTCAGCAACTCACCACCAGCATCCACGGCGAATATACGGCGCCTCAACTTGGTTCCTGGTCAGCTCGCAAATTGCTATAATCACGTCCTACGCCGTCCACAAGATGGGGGGCGACCTCCCATATTTACACAAAGCTAGATTCAGTCCGTCAAGGTCTGAACTGCAGCAGACTTGCCGGCTATCTAGCCCGGTGCTCTACCAACTTGAGCTACGGCGGTATGGCCGCAGTGACACCCGAGCGCGCGGTACGTGTTCATGTGCGCGCGTAGCGAACAATGGATATCCCCGTTGATATATGCGTGTGTGTGTGTCTGTACCTGTGTGTTTTGCTTTTTATTCTAAGTGTGTGTGTGTGTACGCATGTATGTACGCATGTATATGTATGTCTATATGTATGTCTATATGCATGTATGTGTGTACGTATGTATGTGTATGTCAGCTGAGCTAAGGGAAGGCAGATGAAGATATGATTCTTCTCTGTGTGTGAATACACACGTATGTGTGTAATGTGTGCTTGCATTCATGTATGTATGTATGTGTGTGATCGGATTTGTGCGCGTCGCAGCGCGCCCGCCTAATGGACCACTTCTCGCTTACTGACCACATGCGGTCAGTAAGGTCGTAGCTGACAGATGCGCTCTCCTTCAACGGGGGGGAGGGGGGTTGCCGCTCCGTCGTTTACCTGCCTTGCCGCTAGTGCTACTTCCGCTCTGCTGCTACTGCCGCATGTTGCGTATGAATCCTGTCTTCCTTCGGTTTTTCCGTTTTATGTGCGCACATTAATGTACGTCGCACGTGGTGCTTTTCCAGGTGTGCCGTGTGACGCGAGGTTCCCGAGGTTCCATTTTTGTGTTTTGGATTCTGTTCGGATTCTGTTTGGATTCTGCTCGGCAGTGTATCCGTGGAGGGCAAGGGGAAGGGACAGGACGGGCAGAGGGGGCGATGGGAGGGCTGTGGAGGGATGCAGTGGCGGGGGGTGGAGAGAGGGGGGGTGGAGAGGAGGAAAGGAGAGAGGAGAAAGCGAAGGAGAGGCGCAGGCGGTGTAGCTACGGTGCCAAGGGGGGTATTTGTATCCCTCCCTCCCGCCCTCCCACCCGCACAGCGGCACCATTCCTCTCTCCGTCCTCCTCCCGCCCCGTTCCTCATGTCCTGTCCCGCACCCCGCGCTTCTCCCCTCCACTTCCCTGCTGCGGCTCTCCCCCCGCCAATTTGGACTCCCGACAACGGTTGGCAGCTTCGGACGTCCGAGTAGTAGACGTCAGCTATTTCCTTTCACTTGGCTTCACTTGTTTGGCTGCGTCCAGACATTTCCCCTGTCCAGGGTGCTATGAGGGAGCGGGGGACCCTGGGGCTGTCTGGTTTTCCCGCAAGGCACAGAAGATGAGGGGGTGGGAAAGGAAGAGAAGAAGGAGAGGGAGAGAGAGAGAGCTGTTTTACACACGTATGGCTCAATCCATGTGTCAGCCCGGCGTTTTCCCCTGGTTCAGCAGCCGGGTCGGTGGCGGCGGCGGTGGCGGTGGCGGCGGCGGTGGCGGCGGTGACAGTTATATTCATCACACGGGCTTTTGTGAGACCTGGATCCGTTTATTAAATTATTGTGGACGCCGCGGTACCGGTTCGGTAATTTCGTGCACTGGTTGCCTTGGGATTTTCCTACTCCCTGCCACCATCAACAGCCGCTGTATGTGATGTATGTGTGTGTATGTGTGTGTATGTATGTGTGTGCGTGTGTGTTGAGGGGGCTGCAATGGTATAGGCCGCATGACCGGTAGGGCCGTTGGTAGATGGCAATGGCTGGCGGGTACAACCACCAAGGCAACTAGCTACCGACCGACCAAGAAGTACGAGACAAGCTTGAGAAGCTTGAGAAGGTGGGCGCGATGTGATATTCCTGCTTGCCAGGAGGAGGGCTGCCCGTGCTGGTGACGGGGTTCGGGTTGTATAGGCCATTTAGTAGGTGGCCACCACACATACACCGGGATGAGGGGGGCCGGTTTCCTTGGGGGCGCATGGCGCGTGGTGGAAGGCGCAGTTGCAATCGCAATTTCTTCGGAGTTTCAAGCGGTTGAATGGGCGAGGAGAGCTGGAAGGGGGCTGCGGTGAGAGTGTGGGTTTTGTAGTGATGGCTGGTGTTCGTGTGGTGGAGGGGTGGCGGTGGCGGTGAGAAGTGTGGGATGCAAGGAAAGGAGAGCAAATGAAAGGGTGTGTCGCTGCCTGGTGCTGCCTGCAGCCTGACATCGTCCTCCTCCCCAGCCCCTCCTTTCCCTCGCGTGTTTCTGCGTCTCGTGCTTTTTCCCTTCTTCCGCTTTTCCTCCCCCTTTCACAGTGTGTCCACAGCCGGGGGTGTGTCGGGTAAGAAAGCTGCTTAACACTGTACCTGTGTGTGTGTGTGTGTGTGTGTGTGTGTGTGTGTGTGTGTGTGTGTCTGTGCTTGTTGTTGGTTTTGCTTGTGAAGTCGTGTGAACAGACGCGTTTCTCGTCTCTCGTGCACTGTGTATGATGTGTGAAACAGGGGGGTGTATCTGCGCCCGTGGCAGCTACCCTGCGAAACCCTGCCTTCCCCGATATTTCGGGGCACCCTCATCCAGTCACCCTAGTCAAGAATCTGCCGGGTCGACAGCGGCCCAAATCCATTCCTGGTCGGCTCGCAGGTTAACTTTATCCCAGATCACCACCGTCCATCAACTAGGGGCGCAATGCCTTCCACCATCGGAAGGACTTTTGACCCTAGTGGGTATCGATCCCGGGATCTCCCGGGGGCAATGGTCGCGCCTTACCAGTAGTGCCAAACCTAGTGCCAAACCTGTGCATGCACATCCTCGTTATTATGCCTCATTCCGTACTCACATGTCCCCAGTACGGTAGCTATTTGACATTGGCATTCGTGGTGTGGACAATTTATAGAAGCATATTTGCTTACTCCGCGTTCTGTGTGGATGCTTCATACGTAACCTATTTTCGTGCGTATCTATGTATTGATAATGTCGCAGCGGCCAACGCGGTCAAGGCAGCTAACCATCCAACCAACAGACACAGCCAAATTGTGAATCACACCGATTGCGGGCTTGCCATGAGTATGCTATGTTGTCGAGGTGCTATGTTGTCATATGGCGGTTACCACAGAAAATAACTATAGCTGCTATGTCTCGCACGTCTGGTCTGGCAAAACCACTTCCATATCGGGGTTCCGCCTGTGTCACCTTATTTCTACCTATCTTGTCGTCATCCATCATCAGAGGACTGTCAGAATGTTGTTTTCGACCGCTTGCGACGGATTGCGACGGAAATTAGCTCCGATCCTGTAGTGCCTTACACAGGCCCATGTATCCATAGGCATCTCATGTGTCCTAACGGGCGGAGGCGTTCGTAAATTCATAGCAAATCGAAAAAAGCGAGTTTGCGACGAACTTATGACCATGAACGATCCTATGTTTGGGAGAGATGTTGCGAGGAGTTGATTCTTACCAATGGAGAATCCAGTCGACACGGTCGGAGGCCCTATGTCCGGCGGGTGCGATTAGACGAGGCACAGGTCCATCGCAGGTTATGCGAAGTAATACAGTATAATTATTAATTGAAATAAAGCATTGCGTGCTTAACTCTCCAGAGCAGCTTCTTCAGAAGCGGCTACACCGCCCGTGTCCATGGTTCTTGCCGCAACGGGTTTCTCAAGGGCTTGCATTGCCAAAAGAGAGGTAAATGCTTACACTCTCATAAAAGTTGACACTTCTGCAACAGGCACTTGGGTTGGGTGTTCTCTTGATGACCCGTTATTTCCGTGTTATGTTAGGTTCTTAGCTTAGGGTGGGCAATTCGCATAGCTCTAGGGTACGGCACCGAAGTTCTTAGTGTTTCCATTAGAGAAATAAAATACGGGTGCGCATTGATAAGCTTTGCGGGCAAGGAAGCTCACAAGACAGATTTTAACTGTAAGGAGAAGCTTACAGGGGACTCTTATGCATTCGTACTTGTTAGTGCATGGAAAGTGCCTACGGAAGAAACTTGTTTCTCAAACTGTACTAAACAGACGTTTGGTGTGGGATCTATGCTTCAATTTAGAAGCTTATGCTTAGAACCTCATGCCCGGGCACCTCATTTCCCGGGAACCTAGCCGAAACTACGCTGTGTAGCTGAATAGCCAACCGCTAGCGTCGTTGATGATTTACGTATAAGCGTTATACTCGATCACATGCTACGCATAACGGAGACCTTAGTTTCCGCGCGAGGACGCCTCCTTCGACCCTGATTCATGCAGCTACCCATCGCCGTGCTAGCACCGCCGTTGCAGGGACCGCAGAGGCTTTGACTTTCCTGCCCGAACACATCCAAAAGGATCGCTCCTTTCTCATGGGCGTGGGGGGCCCACACGCCCCGTTCACTCCGATGCGTTCGTCAACCCAAGGAGCTTTCTCGCTAGGCAGCAGCACCGGTCCGCCGACCCAGATGGTAAACGGCACACCGGCCTCCAACACCTTCGGCCGCCATAGCGGCTCTCAGCCTGGCCCTCATCCCCCCACGCACCGAATCTCCGCGCCCGGCTCCAGGGCCAGCGATTTCCGCATCCCCGCCGGAGCAGCTCCTCCATCACCTTATGTCCAGCTGCCGGCCTATCAGCCTTCCAACAGCAGTAGCAGCGGCGTCGGCAGCGGTGGCGTCGGCAGCAGCGGGCTACAACCCTATCCCTCGCAGCAGCCGCCCCCTGTTCCTGTCTTCCCGCTCCCCAGCGGCGGCCCGATCCATCATCAACCCAACGCCGGGTCTGCCGCTAGCAGCGGCGGCAGCGGCGGCGGCGGCGGCGGCGGCGGTGGGGCCCCGGTGCTCCAGAAGCTTCCCTCGGTGGATAAGACGGCGGCGGCTAACCGGCCCTCCTCCGCCTTTGTCGGCCTTACCAGCAGCTACAGGTAAAGGCAACGTGCGAGAAGATCCGCCAAAGACGTGTCTGGTCCTTAGAGACGTGGAAGTGCACACAGCAAGCTCGTTCGTACTCGCACCGGGTTTGACTCCGGGCCTCCGGGTGTCTGTCGGGTGTCGTGTACGACCATCCGCGTCAGCCAGCCAGCCAGCCAGCCGTATATCAGCCGTATCAGCAGCCGAGAGCCGTCTTCCTTAGCTTCCTTAGCGGCAGTTGAGTTGAGATTGTTTGCATTTCCTGATCCTCACCGTCATCGACATGTGTTGGTTGTCCCCGGCAGTTCACTTCTGAAGTTCTTGCATGTGATATCCCCCCTTTCCCCCCGCTCCCCTCGTCTTCCTCCTCCTCCTCCTCCTCCTCCTCCCCACCACCGCCACCACCACCACCACCGCCACCACCACCGCCACCACCACCACCGCCACCACCACCACCGCCACCACCACCACCGCCACCACCACCACCGCCACCACCACCACCGCCACCACCACCACCACCACCGCCACCACCACCACCGCCATTACAGGGTTCAGGTGGATGACAAGATCCGCAACGTGCGACCAGAAAGTGAGTGCCTCGTATGTCTGTTTGTGTGTCTTTGTGTGGGTGTGTGTGTTTTGGTAACTTAGCTGCGAGGTAAAGTGACAAGGGTAACGTTGGGATGGCAACGGAAATCAGTACGGCAGTTGACAACCAACCGAGGGGCGGAATGCACAACTCCCACACAGCTGGTCATCGTTGCAAGTCTCTACAAATGCCTGTGTGTACGGCAGGCGTAAACATGCCGTCGCCGTACAAGTGAGCACTTTATCAAGTAAGCAACTCGATGTACGACAAACTTTTCTTGAGACCTGGTACACCCGCTCACTCACCCACCCGCCCATCTCCCCCTCCCCTTTCCCTTTCCGCCTTGTCACTCTGATCCGTACTATCGTACAGCTCCCCAGGAGGTACGACAGCACCTGACCCACGTGCAAGCCCTTGCCTTCGCCAAGGAGCCCGAGCTGTTGGCCGACAACATCATGACGCTGAAGAGGGAACGTAACGCCCTCGTGGTTGACAAGCAGCTGCTGCTGGTTAACAAGAGGCGGCTGGAGGGGGTGCTGGGGAAGTTGTTGGGCGTGGGGGGGGTTGCGGGTTTGGGTGGGGGGCTGGCGGGGGACCTCTGGGGGGACGTGGAGGGCGGTGGGGCGCGTCCCGGCACACCCGGGGGGGTTACGGGGCGGCGAGCTGGCGGCGGGGGAGCCGGAGAAGGGATTCCTATGAAGGCTAAGATGATGAAGGTGGGTGGGAAGGAGGGTGGGAGGGAAGGGGTCGTAGAGGGGTCGTATTTTGTTCGGTGAACTGCGGTTGGATTGTGCGTGTGTGCGTGTGCGTGTGGGCCCGTGGTGCTTTGTATCTCTCAGTACGACATGGTCCAGTCAGGCCCTATGACCCCTCTCCTCCCCTCCCCCCGGGTAGCAGGTGGGGGCCTGCGGGGGGCCGGGGGTTATCAGTGCTCGCGTATTGGGCCGACAGGAGACACACACGTGTTCCCACTTGTTCTTCCTGCCAACCCCCTCCCTAACCCCCCACCCCCGGAGGGGAACCCGCGGGCCGCCGCGGAAGTCGTAAGATAAGAACCCTCCGACACTTTCCACCTTCGTATACCAGCTGCATCTGCACTCATCTCCCCCCTTTTGCTGGCACTCATCTCCCCCCCTGCCCTCCCCCCCCCACATACACATACACACACACTGTACTGCGCCTGCTAAGGTCCTGGATGACAGTCGCGCTCTGGACCAGAAGCTATCCGCCAGCGGGGCCCCCGGGGGCGGGGGGGCACTGACGGTGGCGGAGGCGGAGGCCAAACTGAACGAGCTTCAAGACAGGATCACCAAAGTGACGGTGGGTGGTTGGAGGTGGTTGGGGGGGTGGTTGGGGATATGAAAAGGGGGGATGGTGGACTAGGGGGCTGGGGAGGGAAGAGGGCGCGGGTGCGTGCCCGGGCGGTTGAGGGCCGTGTAGCTATTCGGGTGGTGGAGTGAAGGGGGCGGCGGAGGAGGTGGAAGAGCGGAGCACCCCCCGGGTGGCGAGAGGGGGGAGGAATAGACGCCCTTCGCCACCAGGGCGCCTCCGCGTATTTCTACTGCCTCTGGCACCGCTCTCCCAACCAACGTCTTCTTGGAAAGTCCAGCAATTTCACGTATGTTAAATAAATTTTCACTTGGAAAACTCTACCCACGTTGCTGCTGTTGACTACTCGGAGCTCGTCCCGGTGAAGTGCCCCGTTTTCCTGTTTGCGGTACGAAACCCCTTGCTCCGTTTCTTTCTTCTCCTCGCAGCTCAGACCTGAGGTAAACATCACGTGTTTACAAAGACACGTCCGTCCTCTCCCCCCCCCCCCGCCCGCCCTCTTCCCCGCTATGGCTGCTATTGGCCGCAGACCGAGCGGGATCATCTTGTCAGTCGGTTAGAGGGGGAGCTGTCGTACCGTCGTACACAGGCGGCGGCGGTTACTTCTGCGCTTCAGAAGCAGCTCAGTGAGGCGCAGGAGGAGAACAGCAGGTGGGGGCTGGGGGGGGGGGAAGTGGGGGTGCGGGTTTCAAGATTGCAATGGCGGGTGCGCGATACATGTCCTGGAGCATATACGCACATACATATCGATGTATCAATGAACGCACAAACGCCTGCATTCTCTTAACCTACTCGAGCCGCAATACAAACCGCCCGACGAGCAACTAACCCCGCCCTTCTAATCACCCTACCCCCCCTAACCAACGAAAGCTCGAAAACACGCTAAAACCCAAGTCTCCCCCCTCTCCCTCCCCTTCACATGGCGGCACTACCCCCCCCCCCGCCCGCCCTGGCGACCAGGCTGCACCAGAAGGTGGAGGAGCTGCAGGGCCATTTGGAGTTCCAGGTATGTAGGTCCTGGTATGTATGTAGGTATGTATGTAGGTACGGTCTGTACGGTAGGTAGGTCGGTACGGTCGGTACGGTCGGTACGGTAGGAAGGAACTGGGGAGGAGGGAGGGCGCTGAGGGTCCTCACGGATATTGGTGGGGATGGGGAGGACCTTTGGGATGTAACCCAGATCGAAAATCGAAAAGCCCCTCATTGCCCTCCCCCCCTCCCCTGCCTCCCGCCCCCCCGGTGGCGATTAGGTGGGCGAGTTGGGCTCCAAGGTCGCCTCCCTGACCCAGGCGCTCGCGGAGGCCAACCAGAAGATGAACGGCGATGCGGGTAGGCGCCCGGGTGTGCGTGGCTGCGGGGCGGGTGTATGTACGGCGTGTACGAGTACATGGGCGGGTGATGGCAGGTGCACCGGGACTCAGCCAAAAAGCGACTTGAACGAAAGGGGGTGCCGTCACGCTTCTGTTCCTTTGTGTGCGCCGTTCGTTTTGCTTCAGAAACCCGTAGCTGTGTCAGCTGGCGAACGTTTCCAGTTCGGGGTAAGTTCGTGTGTGGCGGAGGTGTGGGGTCAGTAAGTAGACCTTTTCCAGAAGCTTCACCTCCCCCTTTTTGGCCCCTGGTCCCTCCCCGCCGCCGCTGGCGGCAGCTGCCGCACTGGCGGATCTGCGGAAGCAGCTGACAGCGGCGGAGGCGGCGGCACAGCAGCAGGCGGCCAGGGTGGCGGAACTGGAACACATTGTCGTACAACGCGAAAACACTATCTCGGAGCTGGCGGCGGAGCGGGCCGCTGCCGCCAGGGCGGCGGAGGAGGCGGCGGCGCAGGCGGTGGCGCAAGCGGCGGCACGCGCCGCAGCGGAAGCGGCAACCAAAGCGGCTGCGGAGATGCGGGAGGTTTTTGCGGAGGAGGCAGTAGCGGCGGCAGCAACGGTGGCGGCGATGGCGGGGGAGGAGGCAGCGTTGGGGAAGGCGGCAGCGGACACAGAGGCGAAGGCTGTAGCAGAGGCTAGAGCGCTGGCGGAGGCGGAGGCCCGGGCACGGGCGGATGAGGAGGCTGCAGCGGCAGTCGCCGCCGCGGCGGCCGCGGCGGCGCTGGCGGCGGCGCTGGCGGAGACCTCAGCGACTGAGGCGGAGATTACGACAGCGGCGGTAGCGGCGAAGGAGGCTGAGGAGCAGGCCCTGGAAGCTGCCGTACTGGCACATGCCCGGGAGGCAGCGACAGAGGAGGCGCAGGCGGCGGCGATGAATATTGCCGTTGCGGTGGCGACTGGGGAGGCTGTGGTACAGGTGCGTGCGTACGGCAATTATCGGCTTCATGTTGTGTATCATGGTGCATCGCAGTGCTTTTCGGTACCCTCGACCTTCGGCGTCAAATCGCACCTGGTCGCCCGAGACCAGAGACCAGAGGCCAGGTCTCTGGCCGCGTCGTGCATCATCTTGAGAGGATTGGCGTGGCGCTGCGATATCATATCATTTTTTAAGTTTTGGTTCCAATCCTCTCTCTCTCTCTCTCTCCCCCCACACACACATATACAACCTTTCTTCTCTCTTTTGTGTTGATGCGGGAACAACGGAACGGGGGAGCTGCGGGTGCACTGCTCCTATGGGTCTGTCTACCTGTCTGTCTGAGTCTGTCTGTTTGTCTGAGTCTGTCTGTCTGTCCGTCTGTCTGTCTGAGTCTGTCTGTCTGTCTGAGTCTGTCTGTGTGTCCATCCATGAACCCGCTGATGGCTTTCCATGAAGTGTAGCAAACTTTGAGTTCAAGCGAGGTCGGCAGTAATCCCAATACCGTATTTGAAGTCCGAATTGAATCCGAACCCGCAGCATGATAATAATGAGGACGCAAGCCCCCCCTCAGGGCCCCCCTCAGGCCCCGGCCACCCGAACGGATCCCCCAGGATGAAACCCTCTTCCTCTCCCCCCAACCCCACGCCTCCCAGTTTGTTGAGGAGTTGGCTGCTCTGAGGCGAGCTGAGGCCGAGGCGGCACGAGCAGCTGAGCTGGCGGCGGCCGCGGCAAGGGTGGCAGCGGCGGAAGCGGCAGCGGCGGAAGCGGAAGCCAGGGCAGCGGCGGCGGAGGCAAGGGCGGCGGCGTCTGCCGCGGCCGCGACCGCCGGAGCGGATGGCAAGGTAGCGGAGGCGGAAGCTAAAGCTGTGGAAGCCGAGGCAAAGGCGGCCGCGGCCGAGGCTCGCGCGATGGCGGCGGAGGCGGAGGCGAAGGCAGCGGCAGCGGAGGCGACGGCAGCGGAGGCGAAGCTGCGGGAGGCTGTGTCGGCGGCGGAGGCGGCGGCGGCTCAGGAGATTAAGGCAAAGGAGGCGCAGGTAGGGGCGCTGTCGTGCAGGCTAACTACACTTTGATGGTGATTTTGGGTTAGGAAGGTCCAGGCACCTGCCGACAGTTGCGGTATGATCGGCCGGAGCGCGTAGCTACTAGGTAGGTAGGTAGGTAGGTGTTTTGGCTGTCTTGTTCTCTGTGCGTGTGGAGGTTAGGTGGGTTAGGGCAGCTGGGCTGGGGAGGAGTGACGTGGTGTGGTTGTGGGTGCGGGTGCGGGTGCGGGTGATCCACTACCTCCACCTCCACCTCCACCTCCACCTCCACCTCCACCTCCACCTCCACCTCCACCTCCACCTCCACCTCCACCTCCACCTCCACCTCCACCTCCACCTCCACAACCCGTCAGTTTCCGACATCGGGCACATTCCGCCCTCAACCTCACCCCGCCTTCCGCAAGCTCACCTCCTCCCCCTGCCGCATCCCCGCACTGCGTTAGATGGAGAAGCTGAAAGCGACGTTGGAGGCTGCGCTGACGGCAGCCAACACGGACAAGGCCTTGATGCGGGGTAAGGTGGCGGAGGTAGAGGCGGCGCTGGAGTCCAGAAGCGCCCGAGTGCGTGAGCTTGAGCAGCAGGTGGGTCGGGGTGGAGGGGGGTGTATAGAGAAGTGCAGGTGGGAGTGGGGCGTGTGTATATGCATGTGGGTGGTGTGTGGGTGGTGTATATGTATGTATGTGTGTGTGTTTTGCTGCCGCCATTTCATCACAGATACACACACACGCGCGCGCGCGTATGATCATGATCGTGATCAACCCCTTGGTCTCCTCGAAGGGGAAAACATCATATGATATTCCCTACTAAAGGGGAACTAGCGGGGAAGGTGGGGTTCCCTCCCCTAAAGGGGATGACGATGACGATGGCGATGACGTCCCTTGTCATCATTAAAATAAAGAACAAGAAGGGGACAACCCCTTAGGTAAGGTGAGGTAAGGGCTCTGGTCTTCTTCTTTCCCTTTCTTTCCCCTTTCGGGAATATCATTCCCTAAAGGGTGGTCCCCTTAGGGTTTCCAAAGTCTTCTTTCAGGCAGTGGATATCTTCCGCTCCCTCGCGCGTCCACCACCGCTCCCCTCCCCCGGGCCCTCCCCTCCCTTTGCCGCTTTGGACTCGTACGGCAATTTGGTTGTTAACGTAACTGTTGTACATCAACATCATATGATGAGTCCTCCATGCGATATTCATATTCCGATATTTACCCCAAAATCGAATTCTCCCTCCCCCTCCCGCTCTTTCCCTCCCAAGGTTATGGGCTTGGAACGCGAGTGTGCGGATCTGAAGGCCCTCATGTCGAAGCGCAAGGGGCTCTGCTGATGGATGCAGGAGGGTGGTGCGGGATGGGAGGGGGGCGAGGGGCCGCCGCGAGGCGACTGAGGCTTCATGAGAGCGTGCATCTGCGGCCGCTGCATCTGCTGTCATTTGTTGATGATATTGAATAAAACTGCACGTCTTATTTTTTCCTTTTCCACTCCGCCACCACCAACATTATCAATATATATATAAGGAAGGACATCTGCGATGAGATATATGGTGGTAGTAGTGGTGCCATGGCCGACAGATAAGAGACAGATTGACATGGTAGTGGTAGCGATAGTGAGGACGGACAGGAAACGAGTACTGCTGGTTTGTTTGTAGCCATGGAAGGGCTGCAGGTTGCTGGAGTGGAGTGAGAGAGGTGTTGCGAGGTTTGCGATGTATGATGTTTAAACATTCGTGTGGATGACGGGGATGCGTTTTTCTCTGTGTGTGAGAATCGACGCAGGGTGCTTTCGGAACACATTGTTTTGTTTGTGGGACGTCAACAAGTACATGCGAACGTGCGCGTGCATTCTAATTAAACCCTAGCGTCAAGAAGAGTGGGGGAAAGAGAAAGGGAGTGTGAGTCACCGGCGAGATACGTGCGGGCTGGGGGAGAAGTGGAAATTGCTTATGTGTTAAGTAATAAGCGTGCTTGAATGATTCGTATACGATGTGCACGTGCGCTTGTATTTATGTTTTAATGATCTTCGGAGCCGCGATGAGGGAAAGCCCGCGATGGTGGCACACGAGTAGCTTCATACCGAGAAGCGACGCCTCACCCAGCCATTGCCGAAGCCATGACCGAGAGCGAGTGGATGGGAAAAAGGGAACCACCATAAGTATACATCACAAGATAAGTTGGCTAAGGGTGCCATGGCAAACGCATTTTGCGCGGCAGGCAGATTAATTAATTACGGTATCAGACGCACACAAAGACGCACCCCCCCACACACACATACATACATACACAACAAAGGAGTCATGCTTAGCTGACGTCCGACTCCGCTGAGCTGAATTTGCTGTTTTTTCCTTCCATTCTAAAAGGCTTTACTGCGCTGCTGCTGCTGTCACTGCTGTTAGTGCTGTTGCTGCTGTCAACCAATGACTGGGGCGGCGAGGCGGTTGGCACTGGAAGAGGGTAACATTGGGAGCCTTCCCTGCATGCTGCCCTCGTTGCTGGCGTGCGCCCAGCTAGTGTACGGTGTACGGTGGACGAGCGCTTGGGCTTCGGTAATGGACGTGGCAACTCCCGAAGCAGCAGAACCTTCCACGTGCATTTGACTTAGGGGGGTTTTCTGCGCAGTCTTTGCTTTTTTGGTACGGCTAAGGTACCGCTGGGGTTCCATTCCTTACCGTAGATGTCCCCCCCCATGAGTCGACCTCCCTTGATGACACCGTTTCAGTCCGAAAATCTTGGAACGTGGAACCGTTGTTGTCTTCACACAGCATCTCAAGGTAGACACCAAGCAGGGCCTGCGCTACAGCTGACTGTTCCAGGCTGTGAGCCTAATGGGTTGATCCGTACAGCTAGGGGCTTATTCCTCCGTACATGTCTTCTTCCTCCTCAATTCCGGACGTAATCTATGCATTGCGTCAGGATGCCTCGTGGCTCTCCCGCGAGGAGCATCATTAAGCACAGACAGATAAACAGGTAGGTAGACAGACAGACAGACAGGGTGGCATCCTGCGACAAACTCCTGATCGCTGTGTTATGTTATGTGGGGTCGGTGGTAATACCGGTGATGGATGCGATTGGAGGGTTGGATGAATCTGCTGTGACGTCACCATCACGGTCATGCCTGCTTGTCAACTTTTGTTGCAAAAAGAATTTCAAAAACATACATACACACATACACGTGCACATGCATGGACGCATCGCTGGAAAAGTTTCTATCCCGTTCAACGCAAAGGAAGGATCATCATCTGAAGGGGCTTAAAGGGCAGTTGGCCGCCAGGGGCGAACATATCCCTGCGCACATGTGATACGACCGCAGCAGGTACAGCAGCACCAGCACCGTCACCCCCTCCTAACAGCCGCCACCACTTTTACACAACCACCAACAAAATCATCACCCCCAATACACCCCACCCCATTTTCAGCGCGACTGCAGCCGTCAGCTACCCCGACCCCGCCCACAAGATCCATCGGCCCCTTCCTCCCCCTCCCCCTCCTCCTCATCATCATCATCAGCCGTAACGCCCCCGTCTTCAAACAAACTCCGACCCCACTCTGAGTCCGGGCCCCCACCCGCCCCCTCTTCAGCCGCCGCCGCCGCCGCTGCCTCTGCTCGCCTTTGCTGCCGTTGCTGCCGCACAACATCGTCGCTTTCCCGTACGACACCCCGAGCCATTGTACGGAGCGGCCGCTCCGCAACCTGCAGCAGACACATGAACGCGCCCCACCGTCAGCACCGCATGTTTGGTCTCCGGGACGGAGCATTGGGTTGGAAATTGGTTGGACCTCGTTGGTTGAATTCGTTGGTTGAATTCGTTGGTTGAATTCTTGGTTGAATTCTTGGTTGAATTCTTGGTTGAATTCGTTGGTTGAATTCGTTGGTTGAATTCGTTGGTTGAATTCGTTGGTTGAATTCGTTGGTTGAATTCGTTGGTTGAATTCTTGGTTGAATTCTTGGTTGAATTCGTTGGGTGAATTCGTTGGTTGAACGCATTCATGGGCGAGGCCCCTAAGAAGGGACCTCCCCCACGGACGCCCCCACATCGCGACATGACGTGTTCCAACAGTCTTTGTTCCCGCAACGTCCTTGAACATACATCTCCCTTTCCCCTCCCTTTTTCCCCCCCTTTCCCGGAGCACATCCCGCCACACCCGCCTAAAACACCCCTTCCTCCATCCCCAATCCCCCCACCCCCTAATCCCCCACCCGCCTTGAATTTGAAGCCGTGTCGCTCCCTCTCCGGGTAGGCCCCCCACACCGCGAAGTGGTGCAGCACGATGGAGGCAGCCACCGCCACCTGAGGGGCCGGGGGGGGTTACACATGCCTGTCTGTCTGTCTGTGGGTCAGATATACTCACAGCCATATGTATAGTATGCGGATAACAGAGCTGCCAGAGCTCGGACCATGCTCGGACTCGCAGCATTGAGCCGATGACTGCGGGGAGGTGAGGGAGATTCCACCTCCCCACTTGCACAACCCCCCCACCTGCCCACCCCCCGCCCCGTTCATCTACCTGCTACACCACCAGGTTGCAACACCTGGGGAGAAGCCCCGTGCCGCCATATCGCCACAACTAGCCCCTACCACTACCAGTGCTACTGCCACGACTACTGCCGCTGCCAGTAGCACTAATACTGGCGCTGCCACTGGCACTACTACTGACTGTCACTGCCACTGCCAATACCACTACTACTCCTCTAGCACTGCCAGTACCACTACTACTCCTCTAGCACTACCTTTAGTACCACTACTACCGCCGCTATTACTCACATTGAGTGAGGCGGTTCCTGGTCCGTGCTGGGGGATGTACACGAAGCCGTCGCACAGCGCCATCTGCCGCTCAGACAGCCCCTGGCCCTCATTGCCCAGCAGGAAGGCGGTGGGGCCTGGGGGCGGTGGGGCCCGGGTAGCGGGAGCGGGAGTGGTGGGGGGGGGAACAGGAGTGGTGGGGAGGGAGTGGTGGGGAGGGAGTGGTGGGGGTGGGGAGGGAGTGGTGGGGGTGGGGAGGGAGTGGTGGAGCATATGAAGCAGGAAGCAAAGAATCAGGGAAGAGGTGGGGAGGGGTCAGACGGGCAGGGCAAGGAGGAATTACAAGGGGGACGTTTAGTTGGTTGGTTGGTTAGGGTTCCGTTAAGGAGTTAGAGCTGGGCTTAGGGTGGTGGGCTGGATGTGCGCCAGAAGGAGGGCGCGAGAGAAGGGCAAGGAGGGGGGAGGAGAAGGAGGAAGGGGGTAAGGAGCGGGAGGGGTAAAGACATCGAAGAGGGCCTCCCACAGCACTGCACATGGGCTTGCGGGAATTTCACACACTGCTCCTTAATTCAGGCTTGCAGAGTTGGCTCTTCATGAATAAAGAAACAGTGCTGGCGGTGCCTTTATTCATCGGCCCACATCTTTACCCACCGACCCATCGGTCCGACCCGTACACGTCGTGTCTTCGATTTCACCTTCACCACCAGCACCTGCCTGTGAAGGGGTGTTCGTGCACGGGGAGCGCTCCCTCGCAGATCTCAATACCCAGCACGCGACAGCCCTCCACGTCCTTCAGGTGCTGGAGTTTGTTTGTAGGCGAAGGGTGAAGGCATCATCGACAGGATTCAGCCCTGGAAGGGCGTTCAGACCCTCCTTGGAGCCCTAGAAATTTGTACAAAGTTCCAGGACGATTTGCGCAGGGGATTGAGTACTGACATACCTGCACGCATTGCTGCAACGTGTCAAAATGTTTAAAAGCGACGTGGGCGTCGGAACCATGGCTGCCGAAGGTGTTGAACTGGCGCGACCCGACCAGGCATACCTGCCCACAGCACAGAATGTTATTTGGCCTTGGTAGATTGAAGTCGTCGCGTGGAAGAAGAGGCTTAGTTGAAATAGCTAGTGCTGTGACGACACAATTAAACGCCGCAAGTCGACGGTTTAGCTCACCTCTTTCACCCCAAATGCCGTCGCGCTGCGCACGATGGTCCCGATGTTATGCCGCTTAGATACTGAATGAGTGATTATGAAGCACGGTGGCCCGGCTGTCCCGCTTGCCGACGAACATGGTTCCGCCGCCGGTAACTCTTCCGCGGCTGACATAGCAACAAAAGCCTTGTTTCAACTATTTGCGAGGTGATTAACCTTACAGCTAAGCACCGTGAAGCAACAAATGTGTCTCTGACCAGCGACACGAGATGACAGGCAAATAGGACAGAGGCTGGGACAGCTTGATAACTTATGCCAAACAAGACAGCTCGGGGATAGCTAAAGAGACTGCGGAATTGCACATCGATCGAATCGGCGGAACAGTTACGTGTTATCAGTTGTTATCAGTTGGAGAGCTAACGGTCATACGAACGCTCGATGCCATCATGCCATAATAACTACAGCCGTATGGCAGGTAGCTACAGCCATACTATTAACACATGTACGGCAAGGCGCACCTGCGATGCATGTTGATTTGTCCATCTGCACGCCGATGAAAGTGCCAGCCTCGATACGCGACGCTTGCTCCGATGTTTGGTACTCTAAGCCAGTCCATGTATTAACAGATCGCTGGGAAGTCAGCGAAAGGCATGGCTTGGTGGAGGACCATGTATGCGCCACCAAACAGAGCCAACAAGGCATTGCCGGCAACCTCGGTCATGGCCAGGTGCTTGTTAGTTTGCTTCTGCTGCTGATCCTGAGCGTACTGGTCTTCAGCCGCTTTGTGGGAGTGGGAGGCCTCGTGCCGGGTGTAAGCTGAGTTCGTGCGGGAAATGGTGGCGTTGCTCTTCTTGTATTCGTCACCAAAAAAGCAGGTGACCGTCGTCGAGCCCTGAAGTGCATAGGCCCAGCTCTCGAAATCACCACCACAAGCGGCAAATGATAACCGTCGCCAAATTGTATGGAGGTGGTCGTGACAGTCTACACAGAGTTACAAAGTCAAACACAGAGTTCAAGTCAAGCGCGGCCGCAATAGAGGCTGCAAATCACGTCTTTTGGTCAATTTTTGGTCATTAGGGACCCGGAGCTGGGGCTTAAGCCGCAGTATCCGCCTTATTTGCCGACCTCTGCTCATTGTTCGACCGGGAGCTCGCACGCGCGTGACTGCGCGACATTGCGAGAATTAGGTTAGTTAAGGGGACCTTACGTATCTAGCTACTTAATTTGTCCATATCTCCACAAACTTCAACCCTACCTTGTAAAAACAAAAACCTTATGCCGCCACCGCCTTCACACATCCTGCACCCTTCCAAAGTCTTCAAGGGTACTTATTCCACATCCCCTCACTCCTCCCCACACTCCGTTGCGAGCTGCCGCGGCTGCCGCAATCCTCAACAATCTCCCCCTGCTCTATCTAACCCAAGGGTTCCGGACCCGGACCCGCAGCCGCAGCCGCCCCAGCTGCAGCCCCCCGGGCCCCTGCAGCGCCCCACGCCGCCAGCAGCGCCTCCGAGTCCCCTGGTCCACGAATCACGAACACCCTCTCGAACCCCTCCGCCTGGGTGGGCGCCTGCAGACGTGCCGCGAAGGAGTCGACGATGCGTCCACCCCGGCCTAAGGGGCGTGTACGGTGGTCGTTTGGTTGTGGAAAGAGGGGAGGCGGGTGGGATCGGGATGAGGAGGAGTAACCTTGTGGGTTCGGGGGAAAAAAGGGAAGCCGCCATCGGTTGTGAATGGGTTGGTAATGGGCTGTTAAGAGGTGGGTTTGAGGAGGGTTGGGGGGAAAACGTGGGGAGATTAACGTGGGAAGACACGGTCCTCCTCGACCTGTGCAAGTTGATGACGGCGAGGACGGGTTGAGGGTTCCGAGGCGTAGGGTTGCTAGGGCTAGGTTTGCGAGGGGATGCTGGGGGCACCGGACATACAGGGCGCCGGAGGGGAGTGGGAACAGCATGCGATTGTGCGGCTATGTGCCAGATGCCGCGGCAGAAATTGACATGGTACGGCAGATTGTACTGCAGCTAGCTCCGTACTCCTACCCTTCCCTATGGCTGGAGTTCCTCTTTATAATCCAAGGAATTCGCACCCCAGCCGGACCCTACTCGTATTCCACACAGCCCTCTTCATTAACTAACGAGCGCATGGGCGCCTAAAGTGCCGGCGCGGGTAAGCGCATGCGCGCTGCATGTTTTGGCGTGCGAGAATGCGTGTTTTGGAGTACGATATTCGCCACATGACAAACGCCACGTACAAACACACACGAATTAAACACGCCGTGCCCGCATTTGGCAATAACATTGGCCCAGCGTGCAATCTGCACTAAGCACTATGTTTTAAGTTACACCGTGTTGTGGTCCCTTGCGGCGCTCCCGCCTTCCTAGTGCAAAAGAAACAAAACGGGATGAAACAAAGCAGAACAGAGCAATCATCTTGCATCGTGCTACTTGCAACACGCGGCGGCAGCAACGCATACCTTGGGGTATGGTGGGGTGGTCAGCGCGTGCGGCCACTCGGGCCTTACACACCGCAAGAGGGACATCAAAGAAGACCGCCACGATGCCTGGTCAGGATACGTGGTCGTACGGCAACACCACACAACGATAGCGGAGGAAATACGGGGCTTAAAGCTTGCAAGCGCCACAACTTGCTACCGGCAGAACAACAGGGCAGTAGCAGCAGCAGAACCAAGGGGCAAGGTACGTGTGCTTACGGAAGCAGTGAGGCTATCGTCCATGTTTGGGGAAATGAAGCCTCACTGTTAAAGCTCTCTCGGCAGCCACCCACCTAACGCCACCCACACTCCCCCCTACCTTTATCCCTAGGCCCCAGTAGTCCCAGTTTGAGCCACTCCCGCCGGTCTGCTACATCCGGGCTGCAGCGGTCCAGCACCAGGTGGGGCCTCCAGCCCGCGGATCTACCGCGCAGCAGCGCGGAGCTGAAGGCCGCCTCCGCGGCCCCCCGGCTGCCGCACTCGTCCTGACAAATGCGGCTCCACCTGGGGCGGGGTGGGTTCAGGACCCGAGGGGGCGGAGATGGGTTTGCGGATGTGCGAGGATAGTGGTAGAGTGGTAGTGTGGTAGAGTGGTAGTGGTAGAGTGGTAGTGGTAGAGTGGTAGAGTGGTAGAGTGGTAGTGGTAGAGTGGTAGTGGTAGAGTGGTAGTGGCAGGCTCGGTGGTGGTAGGGCCCGGAGAAAAACGGTCAAGACGGGAAGTTGGAAGGTGGCGCTTCAATTACGAAACACACACGCATAAACAGAATAACAGAGATAAATAGCAACATGTCACAAGTAAAAACAACGCTTGGAGGTGTCCTGGTCTGTGGTGCGATGTGGTGTGGTGGCTGCGGCAGTAGCAGTGATAGCAGCGGCGGTGCTGTCCCATCTTTGCTGTTAAAGGTGTTGAGAGCTGGACAACCAACCCACCCCCAACCATCAACCGACAACCAAACAACCACAACTCGATAATCCTCGGTCCTGTCACGCCAAAACATCTGGAGCGCACAAATTAGTCCCTTGGGTCGCAATAATAACAAACACAATGCATGCAGCTCCTCAGCGACCCTTAGCCCCAGTCCCCACCGCCACCATCTCCACCACCACCACCACTACCACCACCTCGACCACCTCGACCACCACCACCACCACCTCCACCCTGTCGCACCTTCCGCTAGCTTCCAGGGCCTGGGCGAATGTGCTCTTGCCGCTGCCCGGCAACCCCACCAGCATGGCCAGTCGAGGTAGCTGCCGGGAGTTAGGCAGCGGAGGAGGAGGAGGCGGAGGCGGCAGCGCTCGCAGCTGGGCAGCCCGGTCCAGCGGCCGCTGCGGGTCCGGCAGCTGCGCCTGCGCCTGCGCCTGCGCCTCCAGGCCTAGTGAGCGGTGCCGTTGGCGGTTGCTGCAGTTGCGGGGTTGTTGTGGTCCGGTCTGGGAATAGGGATCAGGCTGCGGCTGTGGTCGCCTTTCCTGCGGTGACCCTATCCGGGCGCCGCTATGTTCGCCCTCTTCTACCGCCGCCGCCGCCGCCGCCGCCGCTGCCGCCCCTGTTGTACAGGTTTGTGGCGCCAGCCTTACAGCCGCAGGTGCTGATGTCGACGCCAGCGCCACCGCAGGAGATGGCTTCAACGTCAATGCTGATGGCGCCGCTCCCACGACCGCCTGAGGAAGTGGATTTTGTGATGTCAACGGCGACGACGACGCGGCTGCGGCAGCGGCGGGGACGGCTTTCGACGCGGCTGGGTGCAGCCGTTTTCCCGTTTCCCGCAGCGACACGCTCCGGGCCGCACCCGTCTCCTCTTCCGCCACCGCGAGCTCAACCGTTCGTCGAGACGGAACATTCGGCGCGGGGGGTACGGCGGTCACCGCCGTCGCGGCAGCGTTCTCAACGGCAGCAGCATCCCCGGCCGCTGCCCTGTCGTACCGCCTCCACAACAGGTCGCAGTAGCGGCCTACGAAGCACCTCTGCTGCTCCGTCTCGATACTGCCGGGTCGAAGATCCCTGATAAGGCGTACGGCATCGCCGGCGGACATGACGGGGGGGCTGACGGCGGAGGTGGAGGTGGAAGCCGCCGCTGGCGGCGGACATGGAGGTCCTTGGCCGTGCTTACACAGGTAGCAAGCCAGCGCCGTTCCCGCGCGGCCCTTGCCGCCGCCGCAATGGACTAGGACGGCACCGGCGGCTGCTCCCGCCGCCACCGCCGCCGCGGCGACGTGCTCCTCCACCGCGGTGAGAATCTCGTCCATTTGCTGTACGGATTGAGGCTCATAGTTGGTTACAGGTACGAAAAGATTCCTTACCGGGGCCCCAGATGCAGCGGCAGCGCTGCCGCCGCCACTGCCGCCGCCGGCGGCGGGTCGAGCGAACCAGCGCGGAGGCAGCGGTTCTTCCTCTGTGAGTGTGATGATAAGGCCCACACCCACCCTGTGGAGCGCTGCGATCTGAGGGAGGGAGCACCAGGGGGGGAGGAGGGCACGCGGGTGGGGAGAGGGAGGAGGGCACGCGGGTGGGGAGAGGGAGGAGGGCACGCGGGTGGGGAGAGGGAGGAGGGCAGGCGGGTGGGGAGAGGGAGGAGGGCACGCGGGTGGGGAGAGGGAGGAGGGCACGCGGGTGGGGAGAGGGAGGAGGGCACGCGGGTGGGGAGAGGGAGGAGGGCACGCGGGTGGGGAGAGGGAGGAGGGCACG